TATGTTTATAACAACGAAAGATTTCCTAATCTTTAATAAAATCTGTTTTTTTTTTTAAATAAGTCAATGTGTTTTTTTTGTATAATAATTTCACTAAATGAAATTTTGTGCAGCATTTTGTTAATCTAAATTGTTCAATTTGTGTCTGAATAAAGATTTCTCCATAACTCCTGTTAAAAGTGTTTTTACAGACATAAATGAAGGATTTATGTCTGTATGACTATAAATATATGTGTATATTTTTAAAAAATGTTGTCAAAATCACTCAACGACTACAACAGCTCCAAATCATCTTTGAAAGTGAAACAACAGAGAACTAATACTTAATACTTTCCCTAAAATACACATAATTTTACTTGAAGAGATACATGTTGTTATGTTTTACATGACCACTAGAGGTCAGTAATGAGCTACTGAAGATCTCTGCATGTCAGTGGATTCAAAACATTTAAAATAAGCAGCACATTAGGAAGTACAACGTTGAGAAGTCACGACTGTTGCCCTAAAATTCAATATGGCTGCCTTGCATGTAAAATCTCATGACAATTGCAACACAAAGAAAGGGTTAATCTGTACTTCAAAACGGTCCTTTATTGTGAAAATGTTGGTTATAAAAATAATTTTCTTAAAGTGTCTTGAGACAATGTGTTGTGAATCAGCCCTATATATATAAATAAACTAAATTAAATTTATTTTTTAGCATTAACCAGGACATCACTTTCTAATACTGACTCTCTAGACAACACTCCAATATAATCAAATGAAGACAGAGTATTCACTTGTTTATGTTTTATGGGTTTGCATAAATTGACATGTAGAACATCTGCTCTGATCCAGAGCAGATCAACAACCTGTAGTGAAGGTTTTCCTCCTAATTTGATGGGGAGAAAAAACAAACATTTTAGGCGCTAAAGGGACTGTGATCATATTGATGTCACAGTGTTTCTGATTTTGTATTTTTGTGTTCATCTCAGCAGGCGGTAGTCATCTCTGTGATGAAGGACAGGAAAGAGGCTGTGGGGAAGCTGGGATTTGTTAGAAGTTGCTCCAACAGGTCTTTGCCTTTCTCTCTAGTAGTCACTGAACACATCGCCCCTTTCCACATGCGAACCATTGAGCCGCCTGGTAGAAGAGAAGATCATTATCAACCTTTGAGACTTAGTGATCCAAACTGAAGACGTTTTCCATTTTGTTTGTGACCGTGTGTCCTACCAAGAATGGTATTGATGTTTTTCATCCAGGAGAAAATTTTCAGTGAGTTGTTCTCCTCTTGAGTCAGATCGGCAATGTTTGGGGCTGCATCCCCCGCCTACATGCAGGAGTGAAAAAAATAACAGACGAATATTCAGCAAAATAGAGATATTAAAATAAACACGTCAGTGACGGCGTAAGTACCCGTAAAATTCGGCTCGGCAGAGGATTCAGGAACAGCACAGACTTTTCCAGGTTGGAGTGGAAATGAGCTGCCGCAACATACTCTGCAGAGTCCAACCAGCTGTCTGCAAATGACTGCTCCTCAGCGGAGTAGTGGCTCTTCCTGAATGGACAAAAGCCGGGAGATGACACAAAGAAATATTTGGAAATATAAGATTTTGAACATCCACTTCATCATGTAACATGCAAATTCCGTGGTAAGGCCAACATTCAAATTCACAGACGGATGGATTACTTGACGTTGCATGTAGAAGAGGCGTAAGTCGTAGCCATTTGAGCCACCCAGTAGACACCAAGGATGGAGTCTTTCTTCTCGTTGTCAGGTAGAGTAGACTCAGATGTTGGCTTGAGAGCCTTAAAAGACACAAGTTGACCATTAAAGTCATAGAGGTACAGCTCAATAACTTGGAACGTCATCAAATATGGAAAGTGTTTATGTCACTCAAAAAAAAGAAGCGACAAATGCTCATAATACACATTCATGTCGCACAGAGTGATTTATTTCAAGCATTTGTTTTTGTTATTTTTGATTAATCTTACTTACCGATAACTTAAACTTATAGCTAAAAACATTTGAATGTTACCTTATGCCAATTTATAAAAGGGATTTTTGAAATGGAGATGTTGTTATTGCCATATTGTGGCCTTCAAACTCAAATGGGAAGACTGCCTTAATGTTGTCGTGGACACCCTCCACAAGCAAGGTAAGATATCAAAAGTTACACCAAAATGTGTCTCCGCATAATACTGCATATTATTGGAAAGCTTAGTAAAAGGAAAGTGTTGGTAGAAAAAGGTACACAAACAACACTGGCTACATTTCCGGCGTCATTTTAATACCTGGAAAAAAGCATCCCACTTGGTCATGGCATCAGAGTGGCTAGCTGAACATTCAGTGTAGGTTGAACAAAAACCCTCTACACCTGCAGGCACCTGAAGCTTGATCTGGAAACATGACAAGAATCATTGTATCCATCACTATCAATATTCAGGTTGCATCTTGTATGGTGACAAAAAAAAAAAACAACCTGAATGTTTTCTCCCAGGAAACCCTGTTGTGCAGCAGACAGGAAGGGCAACGCTGAGGTGAAGTAGTTCATACCTGAAAAAAAAAAAAAAAAAGAAACATACAGAGATGGGCAGTGATTTCTGTGAGTGGTTTGTGTTCAGATTTGGTTTGTTACACTTACAGCCCCAAAAACTCTCGGGTGAAATACACATGGCGTCTCCTGTTTGTAGACCGCAGGTTGTTGAACCGGACGGGTCGGCAAGGCGACCTACAGAAGCAGCAGATTTACACTATGACATTTCCCAGTGTTTGGGGATGTTTAGTAAATAATAAAAACATAACAAAAGGCAGTTTTACCTGAGGATTTCATCCATCCAAGCTGCAGTGCCAGCCCCCAAAAGGGATTCTCAGTCTGGGTTGTCCCCATGTAGGTCAGGTAAGGGTCTGTACCTGCAATCACCAGACGATAGAAACTCTGGCGGTTTAGGTAATTCCAAGGATTGGGAGTCAGAATCCCATCTTGCATAGGTAGTTCAGTCACTTGGCCGGCAGTTTGCGACCAAAGGTTCGGCAGGCCATTTTCCAGGACAAGAGCAGAGCTGCTTAAAGTCACCGCAGAAGCGAGGAGGAGGCCAAGGGCCGCCAAGCACAACATGATTGTCCTGGTTGATGGAGAACAAGTGAGCCGAGAGTGTGCACTCAGGACTGACAGCTGTTTGAGACAACAGGGCTTATGTATTCTCGCTGTTCACATGTCTGCACTCTAACTACCATGACAAAGCAAACACACACAATTTAATGCTACAGCCTGCTGACCCGCGGGTCAACGGACCCTTGCAGAAACGATAAGCGGATTCGAGTGCACACAGCTCAATACTGTCCAAATACCCAGACACAGCATGGTGCAAAGTACAACTGGCCATGTTATGTCTCACACATAACATGGCCAGTACATTTTAGCAAAAGAAAATCAATGAAGCACATTGGGTTTTGAAACCATTTGGTTCCATAAAGAAAGACAGAAAACTTAAAAAAAAAAAAAACTTTTAAAACCCACACTGGATCTGCAAGCATCGTCACATAAAAGGATGATCTATCGAGTCAACGCAACCTGTCAGGACCACATTTTGTTTGCATTTACAGGTGATCGTAGTCTGTCAGAGGTTATGTAAGGATTAATGACAGACTGGTCCACTGATTGCTTAAACTCACTAAACTTTGATGTGCTAACACTGCACCTGTCTGTTCGTAACGGCATGTAAGAACAGATGCTATTATCTAAGGTGTTATAAAGAGCATGTCAACACTAATTCCAAAGTACCAATGGCCAGAATGTTCCTGCAGAGTCTGAGACTGTGAAAAAAAAAAAAACCCTCACAAAACAGCAAGCGGATATGCAGGGTTGTAAAGCACATGTTGTAAGGGAGGTCAAAGTAATACTTTGTAATATTTCTTGTTTTGATGATTATGACTAAAAGATAAAAAATCTAAGAATCAGTGTTTCAGAAAGTGGCTCATTTTGCATGAATTACTCCATGACTGCAGCACTGCTCAGGCGCTTTAATAGCAGCTTTCATGCTATGTGCTTTGTTGGGTCTGCTGTCTGTCATCTTCCCGCTGACAGTACTCCATAAATTCTGTGTGGGGTTGAAGTCAAGCCAATTTTGCTGGCCAGTCAGGCACTACAACACGACGGTCATTGAACCAGCTTTTGGTACCTTTGGCAGTATGGGCAAGTGCCAAGTCCTATTGGAAAGTTAAATCAGCATCTAAAGTTGTTGCTTCAACTAAGCTTTCCAAGAACATGCAGTCTGAACAAGCAGCTTATTTAGCAACGATCATTTGTGTCTTACCCTCTTTGTGAAGGTTATCAATGCTTTTAAACATTGCTAGTAGTAAAAAAAAAACAAAAAACACTCTCCAGTCTGTTTCCCATTGTGTAATTATTTCATTTAATGTAATCTTTAAAACAAATATTGTAAACAAGTTCCAATATAATACAATAAAGACTTTAACTACAACTCTTATCCCCTACACTGCATGCTATAAACATTTTTTTTGTTTTTATTTATTTATTTATTTGTTTGTTTGTTTAAATGTCCCAAATTCATCTTGAATGGAATGTGCTCTGATCTTTCCCATTTTGTAGAGTAGAAAGTCCTCTGTGTCACATTATATTTGTTGCTCCGTGAAACAGGAAGGCATGGATTCCCACGTCTCTGGTATAATTTTTAAAAACGTAATTTCATTCCCTCCCCCTTTTTTTTTTTTTACAGAAATTAATGTAACACATGGGATTTTGTTAAATATTCTACTTTGCTTATTTTACATTGATACGTTTTTTTTTTTAAATGGGGCTTCATTTTATTCCTTTTTTTTTTTTTTCTTTTTGCTGCATTGGAGATTTTTTTTTTTTTGTTCCATTATTAAAGTCCAACCAAACGACGATGTGACGGCTGAGCGCAGACGACATCATGTGACAGGGGAGTGGCTCCAAATCAGGAAACACACACCACGGCTGTGAGTCTCAACAAAGGTAAAGTCCTAAACTTCTCCAGAACCGAGCCGAAATCTGGCAGTGACAGAGCCCACATATTAGGATTAAAACTCACTTTTACATCGCCGCTTTATATTTAGCAGCAAAACGAAAGTTAATATGTAGGCTTCGGTAAACGGAATGCGGTGTGGACTTTGTTACTCTCCATGTTCGTGTCAGCTGTTGCTAATAATAGTTTCCACATCTAAAACAACTGTTCGTTTCTATGTGAGGTCGTTTGAATTTGTCCCGTTTTCCTGAGATTTAAGTCGCTCGAGTGATTTCCGCATTGCTTCTGCTCCCAGTGGGACACACTGACATAGCAACAACAACAACAACAAAAAAGAGAGAGAGAAAAATGAGACGTAAATAACGTCAGAGGAGAAATATTACAGAACTAAGAAGCAGAAAGGTTGTCTAAGGTGGATGCGACAGGTTAACAGCTGGTTCTGAGCAGGCCGGGTTCACTTCCCTTAAGTTACAGGAAGTGTGCATGGCTGACCCACATCATGATTCCTCTGGCCCAACCCTGCTACACTGCAGCAGATAAATCCTTGAAACCAAACTGATCCTTACTTGTTTTAATTCAAGGAGCCTATTTTCTGTGTGTGGGCGCCGCCGAGTCTGTGTGCTTTAATCAGTTGTTTGCATCTTGTGTTAGCAACTGGCTTTGTGTAAACTCATGTCGTGTTATTGTAAAACGCAGTTTGTTTGGCTGCTGATTTTGAATAGCTTTTATAGTACGTGTTGACCGACTTTTATTGCACTTTGGTCAGCATTGCTGTTGTTTTTAAAGTGCGTTTTGTAATAAAGTGATATGCACCAATCAGCCTTTTACTGGCTGGTACTGAAATCCAGTTTTTTTTGTTTTGTTTTTAGGTTTTGTTTTGTTTTTAGGTTCCAACATTCTCATTCTGATTTTATCCGGTTTAAAAGAAAAATGAAATGTTGTGTTGTAGATGGGTAATTTTTTATTTTTAAATACCTGTGACAGTTTGGAACAAAATGACCAAAACTGCTGAAGCAGGAAATGGGGAGTAGATGAAGACCAGGTTTCACACAACATATATTTATTTATTTTTTTATTATGAGTTCTCATAGCATGATAGCCTTTAGAGAAGTTGCATCAGTCTTAGCTTATTGTGGTATTCATGCGAAAATGTACAACAGAACTGCATGATTGTATTGAATATCATGGAAACAAAAAGCTGCATAAATAACTTACTGAATTTAACCTAATTTGTTATTTTGTTTGGGGTGCATGATTAATCGGCCAGGTGATTCATGATCAGCTGATACTTGCATGTGAAACCGATCATATTTTAATTTAAATTAATTAAATTACCACGAAGCTGCTGCATTTAGACGTTATCTCTTTTCACTACAAGGAAACCTAAAACTTTGGACACCTTATTGGTGTTAGTTTGTCCTCAGCTAACCTCAAACCTTGTTATAATGTAAAAGCAAACTACTGCTGTGCACTTTAATTTTGGTAAGGGCCTCAAAACAGACCTGCAGTCTAACCTGTTGTACAAGTTTTTTTTTTTTTTTTTTAAATGTGACAAATGAAACACTAATGGAACCGACTGTTTTAATTTAATTAATTCAGCAGTTCTCGCTCATATGCAGTTGTAGTGTTTCACAGTTATTGTTCAAAATAAGACTGGAACATTGACGATGTTTTGGGACGGTGTACGTTAACATGGATGCATTCAAAACAAAGACAAATCACAGAACATAATCAATTGGTGTCACCACAAAAAATAATGAAACCGTTTCTTAAGATGATCCGCATACATCTGAAGTTACGGCTGGTATTAAACCACGGTAAACTCTGAAAACTGCCATGCATATTCCCACAGATGGAGGCTAAATGCTAAAAGCTACGGTCATGTGTTAGTCACGAGAGCAGCAGAGCGCCGTAGCTATGGTAATGAGATCTCGGCGCGACTTCATGAATGAGCTCTGATTGTGTTGTCACCGCAGCTGTCGCCATGGCGTACCACGCTGGGATTCCGGAGGATCCCAATGTTATGGTCCAGAACATCAGCTCCAACATCCAGAGGATCACGCTGCTGAGTAATGAAGACACGATTATCATCAGCGGCACCCTTGCTGAGGTCACAGCCGCTTTTTCTGAATCATAGAATTTGAGATCGTGACGTTTATCTCTCCCTTCTTGCTCAGCCTCGGAGTTGCAGAGAGCGGTGTTCCTGCTGGGGACCGACCAGGACAGCAACCAGCTCAGACAGACGCTGTGAGTAAATTTAGGCTCAGTTGGAGATGTTGCTTGTCTGTTTTTAAAATTATTTGACAAAAACTACAGCTTAAAAGTATATTGAGGTACCACGGAAAAACCTATCCACGCATGTTTATGAAGATAAAATGAATCCTTCTAACTTGGAACCACAATAGTTTTTTTTTTTTTTTTCCCCCATATAATAAACGCATACTTTTTGTTTATTATATTATAGTCAACAAAAACAGCAGCAAGGCAACCAGCTGGCAAAAGACACTGACAAACTGATGAAAGTCTTCACTTCCCTTCCTATTGGCCCAGATCAGGTACAAATTTTTAAATGGCTGTTTTCACCTATGAGAAATCATAATAGTAATTTTTCTATTTTTTATTTTTCCTTTCTGTGTTTTTGGTGGCCTTAGCGGCAAAGGAAGCTACAGAAAGATCGGCTGCTGAACGACTTCTCCGCTGCTCTGAACAGCTTGCAGAAGACGCAGCGGCAGGCGGCCGACAAAGAGCGGGAGTTTGTCGCTCGGGTCCGAGCCGGCTCAAGATTGTCGGTGAGTAAGTCGTGGCCTCCTCACTGGATGGATGACCGTCAGAGTTTAAGAGCTAACGAGCAGCGTTCAGTGTTCCTGTAGAGATTGCGTTGTTTTAGATGTTCAAAAGAAATTTTTTATAAGGAATTTTTAATGGAATTCAATGGTACAAATGATAGATTTTGCCTTATTTTATTGTTGTGAACATTGTTTCAGCAGCAAAGTTGTTTTCTTCATGACTTGTGTCCTTTTGTACGGAGCCCCCCAGGGGACATGGGGAATTTTTTTTTTTCTTTTGCGTTCCCTCGCAAAAGGTCTTGCGCTCCTTCGCAAAAATCTACTGATCAG